TGCAGTCACAATATTAGAATAGACCCTGGGGTCTGACCGAACCCCTAGGGACCTAGTTTCTTAGTCACAGCTTGGAAACAGTTGAGATCCCCACCCTATAACCATAAAGACAATTGCCGATTACAAAGAGATGAATGCACATATGCTTCCAGGATGGCCTTGGGGACTGCCCCACCCTTGGAGACTTAACCCCTGGGTCATAACTTTGAAATGGTTAAGATCCCCACCCCAAAACTATATATACAATTGTTGGGCATAAAGAGACAAATGCAGTCATGATATTAGAATTGACCCCAGGGTTTGCCCCACCCTTGCAGACTTAACCCCTGGATCATAACTTTGAAACGGTTGAAATCTCCACCCCAAAACTATATATACAAATGCTGGGCAAAAAGAGACAAATGCAGTCATGATATTAGAATTGATCCTGGGGTCTGGCCACAACCGTAGGGACCTAGTTTCTGCGGCACAGCTTGGAAACAGTTGAGATCCCCACCCCATAACCATACATAAAATTGCTGGGCATGAAAAATTGAATACAGATATATATGCTACAAGCATTGGCCTTGGGGTCTGGCATATTCCCTTGGATCTCATTTGGAGAATATTCTGCCATGATTGCTTGGATATCAAGGTGAGCGATACAGGCCCTATGGGCCTCTTGTTTACGATATAAATGAGCCCTTGAATTTTCAAAATATGTCTTGAAAAACCCTTGAAAACTCTTTAAATTTTGAGGTCAAAAGTTTGTATGAACCATGTTAAATATCTGATGCTTTGGTTGCTTGTTCCTACATTTTCCGCTTCAGTGACCAGGTTAAGATGTTTGGTTAAGGTCGGTTACTAAGAAACTACTTGTTGTATATCAACTAAACTTGCATGGCTTATGTATCTAAGGATGCTTATCATATGCGATGCTTCGGATGCTGCTTCTGACCTACATTTTTCGCTTGACTGACCAGGTTAAGAAGACTGGTTAAGGTAATTTACTGAGTAACTACTTGCCCTACATCAACTAAACTTGCATGGCTTATGTATCTACTAAGGATGCTTATCACATGCCATGCTTCGGATGCTGGTTCTGACCTACATTTTCCGCTTCAGTGACCAGGTTAAGAAGCTTGGTTAAGGTCAAATACCAAGTAACTACTTGTTGCACATCAACTAAAGTTGCATGGATTATGAATCTAAGGATGCTAATCACAAGTAATGTTTTACATGAAAATGTACTGTAGCAATCTGGCCATATCTCACGGCGGTTTCTTGTTGTGTTAAAGCATGATTGGTTCTGTTGTTTCCTTTAATTTGGTTTCTCTGTTTTTGTGCAGTCAGATAAATTCCATGATGACATCTACCCTCCGACCCCGAGTATGATCCCTTCCTTGTCAGCAGATGAGTGGATATCGGGACAGAACCGGGAACCTATCCTCATGTCTCTCTTGGTAACTATTGCTGTTCATTATTTTATTAGATTGATGGGGTTAAGATTAAAATTATTTAAATGTGAAATATTCTCACTGAACACAGTTGAGTTATCATTACTTTATCCACCATGAGACAGGTATAATATTGAAAGAGACGGAAACATCCTATAGCTAGGACAATTCACAAATAACAAGACGATCACAGATAAATGTTGTGTAATACATGTATGTAAAATGTGACTTAGGGGAGTCCCCCTTTATCGTCCTCAAGTTAAATGGATGTACAGTAGTAGATACAACTGGCAGTAGTCTAAGGGAAGTAGCTCATTCTATATACGTGTAACTAGCACACATGTACAGTATAACACTAGTCAGACTGAACCCAATAATTACCTGACAAAGAACTTCACAACTAATGACAAATAGAAAAATCAGTATCGGTACTGACAAATAGAAAAATCAGTATCGGCACTGACAAATAGAAAAATCAGTATCGGCACTGACAAATAGAAAAATCAGTATCGGTACTGACAAATGGAAAAATCGGTATTGGCACTGACAAATAGAAAAATCTGTATCAATACTGACAAATAGAAAAATCAGTATCAGTACTGACAAATAGAAAAATCAGTATCGGCACTGACAAATAGAAAAATCAGTATCGGTACTGACAAATAGAAAAATCAGTATCGGTACTGACAAATGGAAAAATCGGTATTGGCACTGACAAATAGAAAAATCAGTATTGTCACTGACAAATAGAAAAATCAGTATCGGTACTGACAAATAAAAAAATCAGTATCGACACTGACAAATAGAAAAATCAGTATCGGTACTGACAAATAGAAAAATCAGTATCGACACTGACAAATAGAAAAATCAGTATAGGTACTGACAAATAGAAAAATCAGTATCAGCACTGACAAATAGAAAAATTAGTATCAGTACTGACAAATAGAAAAATTAGTATCGGTACTGACAAATAGAAAAATCAGTATCGGCACTGACAAATAGAAAAACAGATATAAAACTGTAGGTCAAATGTCATACTGTAGGTCAGATATAAAACTGTAGGTCAGGCATAAAACTGTAGGTCAAATGTCATACTGTAGGTAAGATGTCACTCTGTAGGTCAGATGTCATACTGTAGGTCAGATATAAAACTGTAGGTCAGATGTCTTACTGTAGGTCAGATGTCACACTGTAGAACAGATGTCACACTGTAGAACAGATGTCACACTGTAGGTCAGATATAAAACTGTAGGTCAGATATAAAACTGTAGGTCAGATGCCATACTGTAGGTCAGATGTCATACTGTAGGTCAGATGCCAAACTGTAGAACAGATGTCACACTGTAGGTCAGATATAAAACAGTAGGTCAGATATAAAACTGTAGGTCAGATGTCACACTGTAGGTCAGATGTCACACTGTAGAACAGATGTCACACTGTAGGTCAGATATAGAACAGTAGGTCAGATATAAAACTGTAGGTCAGATGTCACGCTGTAGAACAGATGTCACACTGTAGGTCAGATATAGAACAGTAGGTCAGATATAAAACTGTAGGTCAGATGTCACAATGTAGGTCAGATATAAAACTGTAGGTCAGATGTCACACTGTAGGTCAGATGTCACACTGTAGAACAGATGTCACACAGTAGGTCAGATATAAAACTGTAGGTCAGATGTCACACTGTAGGCCAAATATAAAACTGTAGGTCAGATGTCACACTGTAGAACAGATGTCATACTGTAGGTCAGATGTCACACTGTAGGTCAGATGCCATACTGTAGGTCAGATGCCATACTGTAGGTCAGATATAAAACTACTATCACACTGTTTATTAATAAGTCTGGAGCCTTAACATTCAAGTTTGAGTATGGATTTAGTTAAAACTTCTTGCTTTCATTCAAATTTCATTTTCACACTCTATAATTTGATACAGAAGATGACATAGACTAGTGTAAATGTTTGTGTTTTTGTCTGCGATTTTGACTTGAGCATGTTGTTTGATAGCCTCATAGACAACCATTAGCAGGGGAGACCAGTGCATGTTGTTTGTGATCATAGATCTAGAGCTGTCCTAACTTTGAATGTCTAACATCAAATATCAGGGCTAGAAATTAAAGTTCAAAACCACTAGCAGTTGAACTAGTAGTTTCAAATTTTACTAGTCCCTATGCAAATTCCACAAACCAAATATTATTCAACATTATAAGTAATATCAAATTTTGACTTGTCAATCAGGTTGGTGGTTTTTAGAACCACCAGTTCATCTGGAGATTTCAGTAAGCCTCATACTGTCGGGTTACCCTTATTGTCTAGTCCAGCTGGAGATTTCAGTAAGCCTCAGCCTGTCGGGTTACCCTTATTGTCTAGGCCAGCTGGAGATTTCAGTAAGCCTCAGACTGTCGGTTACCCTTATTGTCTAGTCCAGCTGGAGATTTCAGTAAACCTCAGACTGTCGGGTTACCCTTATTGTCTAGTTCAGCTGGAGATTTCAGTAAGCCTCAGACTGTCGGTTACCCTTATTGTCTTGTCCAGCTGGAGATTTCAGTAAGCCTCAGACTGTCGGTTACCCTTATTGTCTAGTCCAGCTGGAGATTTCAGTAAACCTCAGACTGTCGGGTTACCCTTATTGTCTAGTTCAGCTGGAGATTTCAGTAAGCCTCAGACTGTCGGTTACCCTTATTGTCTTGTCCAGCTGGAGATTTCAGTAAGCCTCAGACTGTCGGGTTACCCTTATTTTCTAGTCCCGCTGGAGATTTCAGTAAGCCTCAGACTGTCGGGTTACCCTTATTGTCTAGTTCAGCTGGAGATTTCAGTAAGCCTCAGACTGTCGGGTTACCCTTATTTTCTAGCTCTGAATATATTCATCTTATAAGCATTGCTATTGTAAAAGTGTCCACCCAAGCCTTTCTGTAATTAAGATCCAAGAAGGCAATAATTATCATAATCAATACCTAAGTGAAATAAATTACTGCTTTAAGATATGTATTGAAAATATTGAAAAACTTTTACAAAATCGGCCCAACTTCAGACATTTTGGTGGTTAATCTGCAATACTGTGTCTGTATGAAACATCCCAAAATGATATATCAAGGAAGCAACATAAAACAATCGCTCCCCTCTGGATATTTTTGAGATATTTTATTATGGCTTATTGACCTTTTCTGGTCCTGTCTATTTTACAGAAGAAAGTAGATCTAGATGAACATTTGAACGATACCATCTCTTTATAATCATAGACATTTAATATTTTATAGTAGGTTTTGTAGATCTTGCCTGTCTATCTCTTTACTCTGTAGATGTGACACTAAGTTTAGATGTTACTGACTCTGTAGATGTGACACTGAGTTTACTAGATGTTACTGACTCTGTAGATGTGACACTAAGTTTTGATGTTACTGACTCTGTAGATGTGACACTGAGTTTAGATGTTACTGACTCTGTAGATGTGACACTGAGTTAAGATGTTACTGACCCTGTAGATGTGACACTGAGTCTAGATGTTACTGACTCTGTAGATGTGACACTGAGTTTACTAGATGGTACTGACTCTGTAGATGTGACACTAAGTTTTGATGTTACTGACTCTGTATATGTGTTACTAAGTTTAGATGTTACTGACTCTGTGGATGTGACACTGAGTTTAGATGTTACTGACTCTGTAGATGTGACACTAAGTTAAGATGTTACTGACTCTGTAGATGTGACAATGAGTTTAGATGATACTGACTCTGTAGATGTGACACTAAGTTTAGATGTTACTGACTCTGTAGATGTGACACTGAGTTTAGATGTTACTGACTCTGTATATGTGTCACTAAGTTTAGATGATACTGACTCATTGTGTTTCACCATTGCATGTCCTCAGGATGGTAGTGTAACAAACTCCCCAAAGTGCACGTCCGCAAATGCAGTTCAGAAACAGGTAATCAAACCATACAGGTAAAACCGTACTAAATGTTTAATTAAGTATTCAACTCAGGTGAAGTTCATGTGGATGTGTGCATGTATTAGTATAGAATTATTTTATGATGAGAAATTTTCTAGAACAGCTGGATTAATTCTGGCAAATTCTGTCTGTTTTGTAATATATGTTACACAAAAAGAGATATTCTGGCCAAGTCTCAGTCTGTTTGACTGTTTGATGTGTTATACATTACACAGAGTGATGTATGCTGGCTGAATTTCAGTCCGTTTGGCTGATTTATTGCATCATACATTACACAGAGTGAGTTCTGGCTGATGATCAGTCTGACTGTTGTGTTATGTCTGAGTATGACAAATCTATTTGGCTGTTCTGTTGTTATAAACATAACACATTGTGGTGAGTTCTGTCCATGTGTCAGTCTGACTGTTGTGTTATGTCTGAGTATGATAAATGTATTCGGCTGTTTTGTTGTTATAAACATAAGACATTGTGGCGAGTTCTGTCTGTGTGTCAGTCTGACTGTTGTGTTATGTCTGAGTCTGACAAATCTGTTTGGTTGTTTTGTTGTATTATGCATTGCAAATGTCACTCTGGTATTCTATCGACTCGGCTAGAGAGAATTCCTCTAGTAGCTCATTCGATAAAGTGTAATACTAGTAAACCAGAGGTTCCGGGATCAACTCCAAGCAGGAGCATTGAAAAATTATCTGATAATGACCTCTGTTACACGAAGATTAATGAGTTCTGGTTGAGTCTTGGTATGTCTGTCTTTTTTGTTGTGTGATACATTACGCTGAGTGATGAGTTCTATCTGAGTATCGGTCTGTCTATCTATTTTGTTGTGTGATACATTACACTGAGTGATGAGTTCTATCTGAGTCTCGGTCTATCAATCTAATTTGTTGTGTGATACATTACCTGGAGTGATGAGTTCTATCTGAGTCTCGGTCTGTCTGTCTATTTTGTTGTGTGACACATTACCTGGAGTGATGAGTTTGATCTATAAGTCTCGGGCTGTCTATCTATTTTGTTGTGTGATACATTATGTGGAGTGATGAGTTCTCGTTAGGAATCGGTCTGTCTATCTATTTTGTAGTGCGACACATTACCTGGAGTGATGAGTTCTATCTGAGTCTCGGTCTGTCTATCTATTTTGTAGTGTGACACATTCCTGGAGTGATGAGTTCTATCTGAGTCTCGTTCTGTCTGTCTATTTTGTTGTGTGATACATTACGTGGAGTAATGAGTTTGATCTGAGTCTCTGTCTGTCTGTCTATTTGGTAGTGTGATACATTATGTGATGAGTTCTATCTGAGTCTCGGTCTATCAATCTATTTTGTCGTGTGATACATTATGTGGAGTGATGAGTTTGATCTGAGTCTAGGTATGTCTGTCTATTTTGTAGTGTGACACATTACCTGGAGTAATGAGTTCTATCTGAGTCTCGGTCTGTCTGTCTATTTTGTTGTGTGATACATTACGCTGAGTGGTGAGTTCTATCTGAGTCTCGGTCTGTCTGTCTATTTTGTTGTGTGATACATTACGCTGAGTGATGAGTTCTATATGAGTCTCGGTCTGTCTGTCTATTTTGTTGTGTGATACATTACGCTAAGTGGTGAGTTCTATCTGAGTCTCGGTCTGTCTGTCTATTTTGTTGTGTGATACATTATGTGGAGTGATGAGTTCTCGTTGAGTATCGGTCTGTCTATCTATTTTGTTGTGTGACACATAACCTGGAGTGATGAATTCTATCTGAGTCTCGATCTATCAATCTATTTTGTTGTGTGATACATTATGTGGAGTGATGAGTTTGATCTGAGTCTCGGTATGTCTGTCTATTTTGTAGTGTGACACATTACCTGGAGTAATGAGTTCTATCTGAGTCTCGGTCTGTCTATCTATTTTGTTGTGTGATACATTACCTGGAGTGATGAGTTTGATCTGTAAGTCTCGGTCTGTCTATCTATTTTGTACTGTGACACATTACCAGGAGTGATGAGTTCTATCTGAGTCTCGGTCTGTCTGTCTATTTTGTTGTGTGATACATTATGTGGAGTGATGAGTTTGATCTGAGTCTCGGTATGTCTGTCTATTTTGTAGTGTGACACATTACCTGGAGTGATGAGTTCTTTCTGAGTCTCAGTCTGTCCATCTATTTTGTTGTGTGATACATTACGCTGAGTGATGAGTTCTATCTGAGTCTCGGTCCGTCTATCTATTTTGTTATGTGATACATTACGTGGAGTGATGAGTTTGATCTGAGTCTCGGTCTGTCTATCTATTTTGTAGTGTTACAAATTTTGTGGAGTGATGAGTTCTATTTGAGTCTTGGTCTGTCTATCAATTTTGTAGTGTGATACATTTCGTGCAGAGTGATGAGTTTTGGTTGAGTCTCGGTCTGTCTGTCTATTTTGTTGTGTGATACATTACGCTGAGTGATGAGTTCTATCTGAGTCTCGGTCTGTCTATCTATTTTGTAGTGTGACAAATGACCTGGAGTGATGATTTCTTTCTGAGTCTCAGTCTGTCTGTCTATTTTGTTGTGTGATACATTACTCTGAGTGATGAGTTCTATCTGAGTCTCGGTCTGTCTGTCTATTTTGTTGTGTGATACATTACGCTGAGTGATGAGTTTTATCTGAGTCTCGGTCTGTCTATCTATTTAGTAGTGTGACACGTTGCCTGGAGTGATGAGTTCTATCTGAGTCTTGGTCTGTCTATCTATTTTGTAGTGTGACACATTACCTGGAGGGATGAGTTCGATCTGAGTCTCGGTCTGTCTATCTATTTTGTTGTGTGATACATTATGTGGAGTGATGAGTTTAGTTGAGTCTCAGTCTGTCTGTCTATTTTGTAGTGTGACACATTACCTGGAGTGATGAGTTCGATCTGAGTCTCGGTCTGTCTATCTATTTTGTAGTGTGACACGTTACCTGGAGTGATGAGTTCTATCTGAGTCTTGGTCTGTCTATCTATTTTGTAGTGTGACACATTACCTGGAATGATGAGTTCTATCTGAGTATCGGTCTGTCTATCTATTTTGTAGTGTGACACATTACCTGGAGTGATGAGTTCTATCTGAGTCTCGGTCTGTCTGTTTATTTTGTTGTGTGATACATTACGTGGAGTGATGAGTTTGATCTGAGTCTCTGTCTGTCTCTATTTGGTAGTGTGATACATTATGTGATGAGTTCTATCTGAGTCTCGGTCTATCAATCTATTTTGTTGTGTGATACATTACCTGGAGTGATGAGTTTGATCTGAGTCTCGGTATGTCTGTCTATTTTGTAGTGTGACACATAACCTGGAGTAATGAGTTCTATCTGAGTCTCGGTCTGTCTATCTATTTTGTTGTGTGTTACATTACCTGGAGTGATGAGTTTGATCTGTAAGTCTCGGTCTGTCTATCTATTTTGTTGTGTGATACATTATGTGGAGTGATGAGTTCTTGTTGAGTATCGGTCTGTCTATCTATTTTGTACTGTGACACATTACCTGGAGTGATGAGTTCTATCTGAGTCTCGGTCTGTCTGTCTATTTCGTTGTGTGATACATTACGCTGAGTGGTGAGTTCTATCTGAGTCTCGGTCTGTCTGTCTATTTTGTTGTGTGATACATAATGTGGGGTGATGAGTTCTCGTTGAGTATCGGTCTGTCTATCTATTTTGTACTGTGACACATTACGTGTAGTGATGAGTTCTATCTGAGTTTCGGTCTATCAATCTATTTTGTTGTGTGATACATTATGTGGAGTGATGAGTTCTTGTTGAGTATCGGTCTGTTTACGTGGAGAAATGAGTTTGATCTGAGTCTCGGTCTGTCTATCTATTTTGTAGTGTGATACATTACGTGATGAGTTCTTTCTGAGTCTCGGTCTGTCTATCTATTTTGTAGTGTGATACATTACGTGGAGTGATGAGTTTGATCTGTAAGTCTCGGTCTGTCTATCTATTTTGTTGTGTGATAGATTATGTGGAGTGATGAGTTCTTGTTGAGTATCGGTCTGTCTGACTATTTTGTTGTGTGATACATTACGCTGAGTAATGAGTTCTATCTGAGTCTCGGTCTGTCTGTCTATTTTGTTGTGTGATACATTACTTGGGGTGATGAGTTTTGATCTGAGTCTCTGTCTGTCTGTCTATTTTGTAGTGTGATACATTACGTGATGAGTTCTTTCTGAGTCTCGGTCTGTCTATCTATTTTGTAGTGTGACACATTACCTGGAGTGATGAGTTCTTTCTGAGTCTCAGTCTGTCTGTCTATTTTGTTGTGTGATACATTACGCTGAGTGATGAGTTCTATCTGAGTCTCGGTCTGTCTATCTATTTTGTTATGTGATACATTACGTGGAGTGATGAGTTTGATCTGAGTCTTGGTCTGTCTGTCTATTTTGTTGTGTGATACATTACGCTGAGTGATGAGTTCTATCTGAGTCTCGGTCTGTCTGTCTATTTTGTTGTGTGATACATTACGCTGAGTTATGAGTTCTATCTGAGTCTCGGTCTGTCTATCTATTTTGTTGTGTGATACATTATGTGGAGTGATGAGTTCTCGTTGAGTATCGGTCTGTCTATCTATTTTGTAGTGTGACAAATTTTGTGGAGTGATGAGTTCTATCTGAGTCTTGGTCTGTCTATCTATTTTGTAGTGTGATACATTTCGTGCAGAGTGATGAGTTTTGGTTGAGTCTCGGTCTGTCTGTCTATTTTGTTGTGTGATACATTACGCGGAGTGATGAGTTCTATCTGAGTCTCGGTCTGTCTATCTATTTTGTAGTGTGACATATTACGTGGGGTGATGAGTTTTGATCTGAGTCTCTGTCTGTCTGTCTATTTTGTAGTGTGACACATTACGTGGAGTGATGAGTTTGATCTGAGTCTCGGTCTGTTTGTCTGTTACACAGAGTGATGAATTTTTGATGTGTTTTGGTCTGTTTTGCTGCTTTGTTGCATTATTTTTTAGACGGTGATGTTTTTTGATGGATTATTTATCTGTCGTATCATACTTTGGGATATATTTAGCACTCAGAATGAATTTCAAAATAAAATATTGTTGCCACAGTTTCCCAACTCATCTATTATACATCAATGACTAACATCAGTGGCTTAATTAGTTTTGGGCAAGAGTAACACACTTCATAATGAAAAGTCAATAAAGATAGCTTTTCATCTGAATGTGTCATAATCATTTGATGCACCAAAATTTAACAAACCCATTTTGAGCAAATAACGCCAATTTGTTTAGGTGCAAAATATCCCCAAAGTACGGTATTTTATTAGATCTTTTAGAGCAGTTAAAAGCTGAAAGAAATTTTGTCATATTTCTTTTCTTCTGCCTGTTATATCTTTTTATAGAAGTGATCTTTTGTGTAAGTTTGAATCTGATACTTGCCAGATTTATGAGAATTGTTTTGTTTTGTTCTTTTAAACATGTTTTCGCTGATGATTTTTACAGGATGGTTCATTGGCCCAAACCCCTACAATAACGACATACAAAGCGCTGAGTCCACCACAACTTGATCGTCCTGTACCCTTCCCAACAACAGCCCCAGGCCAGATGGGGAAACAGACGGGCCAACCAAGGCAACAACGTACAGAACCAGCCTCACTCAAGAACATTAAACGCCTCAGTTCCAATGAGGACTATATAACATTGAGGTGAGGCTAAGTAACATTAAACGCCACAGTTCCAATGAGGACTATATAACATTGAGGTGAGGCTATGTAACATTAAACGCCTCAGTTCCAATGAGGACTATATAACATTGAGGTGAGGCTATGTAACATTAAACGCCTCAGTTCCAATGAGGACTATATAACATTGAGGTGAGGCTATGTAACATTAAACGCCTCAGTTCCAATGAGGACTATATAACATTGAGGTGAGGCTATGTAACATTAAACGCCTCAGTTCCAATGAGGACTATATAACATTGAGGTGAGGCTATGTAACATTAAACGCCTCAGTTCCAATGAGGACTATATAACATTGAGGTGAGGCTATGTAACATTAAACGCCTCAGTTCCAATGAGGACTATATAACATTGAGGTGAGGCTATGTAACATTAAACGCCTCAGTTCCAATGAGGACTATATAACATTGAGGTGAGGCTATGTAACATTAAACGCCTCAGTTCCAATGAGGACTATATAACATTGAGGTGAGGCTATGTAACATTAAACGCCTCAGTTCCAATGAGGACTATATAACATTGAGGTGAGGCTATGTAACATTAAACGCCTCAGTTCCAATGAGGACTATATAACATTGAGGTGAGGCTATGTAACATTAAACGCCTCAGTTCCAATGAGGACTATATAACATTGAGGTGAGGCTATGTAACATTAAACGCCTCAGTTCCAATGAGGACTATATAACATTGAGGTGAGGCTATGTAACATTAAACGCCTCAGTTCCAATGAGGACTATATAACATTGAGGTGAGGCTATGTAACATTAAACGCCTCAGTTCCAATGAGGACTATATAACATTGAGGTGAGGCTATGTAACATTAAACGCCTCAGTTCCAATGAGGACTATATAACATTGAGGTGAGGCTATGTAACATTAAACGCCTCAGTTCCAATGAGGACTATATAACATTGAGGTGAGGCTATGTAACATTAAACGCCTCAGTTCCAATGAGGACTATATAACATTGAGGTGAGGCTATGTAACATTAAACGCCTCAGTTCCAATGAGGACTATATAACATTGAGGTGAGGCTATGTAACATTAAACGCCTCAGTTCCAATGAGGACTATATAACATTGAGGTGAGGCTATGTAACATTAAACGCCTCAGTTCCAATGAGGACTATATAACATTGAGGTGAGGCTATGTAACATTAAACGCCTCAGTTCCAATGAGGACTATATAACATTGAGGTGAGGCTATGTAACATTAAACGCCTCAGTTCCAATGAGGACTATATAACATTGAGGTGAGGCTATGTAACATTAAACGCCTCAGTTCCAATGAGGACTATATAACATTGAGGTGAGGCTATGTAACATTAAACGCCTCAGTTCCAATGAGGACTATATAACATTGAGGTGAGGCTATGTAACATTAAACGCCTCAGTTCCAATGAGGACTATATAACATTGAGGTGAGGCTATGTAACATTAAACGCCTCAGTTCCAATGAGGACTATATAACATTGAGGTGAGGCTATGTAACATTAAACGCCTCAGTTCCAATGAGGACTATATAACATTGAGGTGAGGCTATGTAACATTAAACGCCTCAGTTCCAATGAGGACTATATAACATTGAGGTGAGGCTATGTAACATTAAACGCCTCAGTTCCAATGAGGACTATATAACATTGAGGTGAGGCTATGTAACATTAAACGCCTCAGTTCCAATGAGGACTATATAACATTGAGGTGAGGCTATGTAACATTAAACGCCTCAGTTCCAATGAGGACTATATAACATTGAGGTGAGGCTATGTAACATTAAACGCCTCAGTTCCAATGAGGACTATATAACATTGAGGTGAGGCTATGTAACATTAAACGCCTCAGTTCCAATGAGGACTATATAACATTGAGGTGAGGCTATGTAACATTAAACGCCTCAGTTCCAATGAGGACTATATAACATTGAGGTGAGGCTATGTAACATTAAACGCCTCAGTTCCAATGAGGACTATATAACATTGAGGTGAGGCTATGTAACATTAAACGCCTCAGTTCCAATGAGGACTATATAACATTGAGGTGAGGCTATGTAACATTAAACGCCTCAGTTCCAATGAGGACTATATAACATTGAGGTGAGGCTATGTAACATTAAACGCCTCAGTTCCAATGAGGACTATATAACATTGAGGTGAGGCTATGTAACATTAAACGCCTCAGTTCCAATGAGGACTATATAACATTGAGGTGAGGCTATGTAACATTAAACGCCTCAGTTCCAATGAGGACTATATAACATTGAGGTGAGGCTATGTAACATTAAACGCCTCAGTTCCAATGAGGACTATATAACATTGAGGTGAGGCTATGTAACATTAAACGCCTCAGTTCCAATGAGGACTATATAACATTGAGGTGAGGCTATGTAACATTAAACGCCTCAGTTCCAATGAGGACTATATAACATTGAGGTGAGGCTATGTAACATTAAACGCCTCAGTTCCAATGAGGACTATATAACATTGAGGTGAGGCTATGTAACATTAAACGCCTCAGTTCCAATGAGGACTATATAACATTGAGGTGAGGCTATGTAACATTAAACGCCTCAGTTCCAATGAGGACTATATAACATTGAGGTGAGGCTATGTAACATTAAACGCCTCAGTTCCAATGAGGACTATATAACATTGAGGTGAGGCTATGTAACATTAAACGCCTCAGTTCCAATGAGGACTATATAACATTGAGGTGAGGCTATGTAACATTAAACGCCTCAGTTCCAATGAGGACTATATAACATTGAGGTGAGGCTATGTAACATTAAACGCCTCAGTTCCAATGAGGACTATATAACATTGAGGTGAGGCTATGTAACATTAAACGCCTCAGTTCCAATGAGGACTATATAACATTGAGGTGAGGCTATGTAACATTAAACGCCTCAGTTCCAATGAGGACTATATAACATTGAGGTGAGGCTATGTAACATTAAACGCCTCAGTTCCAATGAGGACTATATAACATTGAGGTGAGGCTATGTAACATTAAACGCCTCAGTTCCAATGAGGACTATATAACATTGAGGTGAGGCTATGTAACATTAAACGCCTCAGTTCCAATGAGGACTATATAACATTGAGGTGAGGCTATGTAACATTAAACGCCTCAGTTCCAATGAGGACTATATAACATTGAGGTGAGGCTATGTAACATTAAACGCCTCAGTTCCAATGAGGACTATATAACATTGAGGTGAGGCTATGTAACATTAAACGCCTCAGTTCCAATGAGGACTATATAACATTGAGGTGAGGCTATGTAACATTAAACGCCTCAGTTCCAATGAGGACTATATAACATTGAGGTGAGGCTATGTAACATTAAACGCCTCAGTTCCAATGAGGACTATATAACATTGAGGTGAGGCTATGTAACATTAAACGCCTCAGTTCCAATGAGGACTATATAACATTGAGGTGAGGCTATGTAACATTAAACGCCTCAGTTCCAATGAGGACTATATAACATTGAGGTGAGGCTATGTAACATTAAACGCCTCAGTTCCAATGAGAACTATATAACATTGAGGTGAGGCTATGTAACATTAAATGCCTCAGTTCCAATGAGGACTATATAACATTGAGGTTTACATGGTGATGATGTGAGGTAGAATGAAATAAAAGTGACAAAGTTTGAGTGACCTTGATTATTATGTTAATCTGAATGACTTTGACCTGAATCTCAGTATGAGTTTAGATGATAATCATATCACACTGGTCTTGCTAGCTGATCATGACACCATTTAATGTTCCTGTCCTGAAAGGTATAATAGTGTCTGTGTTGTTTGTCAGATTGACAGAATTTCCAGATCTGTTGTAATTGTCGGATGGTACCATATGCTGTACTGGTCCTCGCCAACAAATCTTGCTCTCTGTGTATTGGATTATACAGTCAATATTTCAGTATTATAACAGACTCAGGGACTCCCTGATTGTCTGGGATAAAAGATTAAGACAATCATCAGTTGTCACTTAATTGAAACTGTCAACTAATTTTACCGAATTAATGCTTTTTATTCCATTGTGCGTCGATCGGCGGTTGGCGTCGTCCATCGTCATCCGTCAGCTTTTCCTTCGAACGTCTTCTTCTGAAGAATGGACAAGCCTTGAGTCATGATATTTTGGTGAAAGCTTTGTTGGTAAGAGCTTAACGAAGTTTGAGAACGAAAATGACCTTGACCTGCTTTCAAGGTCACAGGGGTCAAAAGTGTCAAATACTCAAAAACAAATTCTCCTGAAGAACTGAAGGGTATAAAATCTTTAATATGTGGCTGGTAGCTTCCTTGGTATGAGCCCAACAAAGTTTGAGAACGAAAATGACCTTGACCTACTATCAAGGTCACAGGGGTCAAAAGTGTCAAATACTTAAAACAACTTCTTCTGAGGAACTAAAAGGTATTGAATCTTTAATATTTGGCTGGTTACTTTTTTGGATAGAGCCAAACAAAGTTGAGAATGACCTTGACCTACTTTCCAGGTCACAGGGGTCAAATATGTCAAAGACTTCTAAAAAAGAACTGAAAGGTACAGAATCTTCATATATATTTGGCTGGTGGCTTCTGGGATGGAGTCTGACAAAGTTTGAGAATGAAATGACCTTGACCTTCTTTCAAGGTCACAGGGGTCAAATGTGTCAGATACTTAAAACGACTTCTGAAGAACTGAAAAGGAATAGAATCTTAATATTTGTCTGGTGTCTTTTAGGGATTGATCTTGCAAATGAAAATGACCTTGAATCACTTTCAATGCTCACTTCAGACATTGTTAGTGCTCACTTCAGACATTGTTAGTGCTCACTTCAGACATTGTTAGTGCTCACTTCAGACATTGTTAGTGTTCACTTCAGACATTGTTAGGGGTCACTTCAGACATTGTTAGGGGTCACTTCAAACATTGATAGGGGTCACTTCAGACATTGTTAGGGGTCACTTCAGGCATTGTTAGT